TTCTGCCATTGTCTTGGGTCATGATCCTGGGGTCCTGCGATTGAGCCCTGCATAGGGGTCCCTGCTCAGTGGGGAGTCTGCTTGTCCCTCTGCCCCTCCCCCCATTCGTGCTCTCTCTCTCTCTCTCTCTCTCTCTCTCTCTCTCTCAGGTATCTTTTAAAAATAAGAATAATCAGGTCTTGTGGTCGCGGGCTTACGCCGAGTACGCCCAGCCCACCCTCTCCGCGGCACCTCGGCCCCGGTGCACCGCCGCGGCCCATGGGGAGAGTCGGCCGGGCGGGCCAGCATTAAATTGGAAAGATGTCCCTGTATGATGACCTGGGAGTAGAGACCAGTGATTCAAAAACAGAAGGCTGGTCCAAAAACTTCAAACTTCTGCAGTCTCAGCTTCAGGTCAAGAAGGCAGCTCTCACACAAGCCAAGAGCCAGAGAACAAAACAGAGTACAGTACTTGCCCCAGTAATCGACCTAAAGCAAGGCGGCTCTTCAGACGACCGGCAGATCGTGGACACCCCCCCCCCCCGCCCCGCACGTCGCAGCTGGCCTGAAGGATCCTGTTGCCAGTGGATTTTCTGCAGGAGAAGTTTTGATTCCATTAGCTGATGAATATGATCCCATGTTTCCTAATGATTATGAGAAAGTAGTGAAGCGCCAAAGAGAGGAACGACAGAGACAGTGAGAGCTAGAAAGACAAAAATAGAAGAGAGAGAAAAGAGGCATAAGGACAGACATGAAGCTAGTGGGTTTTCGGGGAGATCAGATCCAGATTCTGATGAAGATGAACATTACGAGCGAGAGACGCGGAAAAGAAGTATGGGCGGAGCTGCCATCACGCCACCCACTTCTCTTGTAGAGAGAGACAGAGTTACCCAGAGATTTCCCTTACGAAGAGGATTCAAGACCTCGCTCCCAGTCTTCCAAAGCTGCTATCCCTCCCCCAGTATACAAGGAACAAGACAGACCCAGATCTCCGACTGGACCTGGCAACTCCTTCCTTGCCAACATGGGTGGCACAGTAGCACATGAAATCATGCAGAAGTACGGCTTCCGGGAAGGCCAGGGTCTGGGGAAGCACAAGCAGGGCCTGAGCACAGCACTGTCCATGGAGAAGACAAGCAAGCGAGGAGGCAAGATCATTGTGGGTGATGCCACAGAGAAAGATGCATCCAAGAAGTCAGATTCAAATCCATTAACTGAAATACTTAAGTGTCCTACCAAAGTGGTCCTCCTAAGGAACATGGTTGGTGCAGGAGAGGTAGATGAAGACTTGGAAGCAGAAACCAAGGAAGAGTTTGAAAAATATGGCAAAGTTGGAAAATGTGTGATATTTGAAATTCCTGGTGCCCCTGATGATGAAGCAGTACGAATATTTTTAGAATTTGAGAGGGTTGAATCAGCAATTAAAGCCGTTGTTGATCTGAATGGGAGGTATTTTGGTGGACGGGTGGTAAAAGCATGTTTCTACAATTTGGATAAGTTCAGGGTCTTGGATTTGGCGGAACAAGTCTGATTTTAAGAACTAGAGCACGAGTCATCTCCGATGATCCTTAAATGAGCTGCAGGCTGAGCAGAGAAGGAAAAGACGTCAGCTGGCCTGTGTGTGTGGCTGCCACATACAGAGACTCTTGGAAGGACTTCTAAGATATATGTTGATTGATCCCTTTTTTATTTTGTGTGTTTTTTTTTTTAAAGATTTTTTTTTTTTTTTTTTTATTTCAGAGAGAGAATGAGATAGAGAGCATGAGAGGGGAGAGGGTCAGAGGGAGAAGCAGAGGGAGCCCGATGAGGGACTCGATCCCGGGACTCCAGGATCATGACCTGAGCCGAAGGCAGTCGCTTAACCAACTGAGCCACCCAGGCGCCCTATTTTGTGGTTTTTTAAATATAGTATAAAAATCCTTTAAAAAAAATAAATAAAAATAATAAAATAATATAAAATCTTTTTTTAAAAAGTAGATGACTTAAACTCTCCAAGTGACAGAATGGAATTCAACGTCCATTTATGATAAAAACTTTAAACGAAGTGGGTATAAGGGGACATACCTCAGCATAATAAAGGCCATATACAAGAAGCCCATAGCTAACAACATACTCAGTGGTAAAAGTCTGAAAGCTTTTACTCTTAAGATCAGGAAAGGGATGGGACACTTGGATGGCTCAGTTGGTTAAACGGCTGCCTTCAGCTCAGAGCATAATCTCAGGGTCCTGAGATCAAGCCTCACATCAGGCTCCCTGCTCAGTGGGGAGTTTGCTTCAGATCAGGAAAAGGACACTCCCACCACTTTTATTCAACATAGTACTGGAAGTACTAGCCAGAGCAATTAACCAAGAAAAAGAAAATACATCCAAATTGGAAAGGAAGAAGTAAAACTGTCTCTATTTGCAGATGACATGACATTATACATAGGAAACCATAAAGACGCTACAAAAAAATTGTTAGAACTGATAAGGTCAGTTAACTGGTTGCAGGATACAAAATCAAAATATCAGACTCAGTTGCATTTCCACACTCTAATAATGAACTATCAGAGAAATTAAGAAAACAGTCCCATTTGCAAAGCAGCATAGAAAATACGTAAGAGTGAGTTTAACCAAGGATGTGAAAGTCATGTACATTGAAAACACTAATAATTCATTAATGAAAAAAATTGAATAAGGCTCAGTGGAATGGAAGAATTAATTATTGTTAAATAATATGCTCATGGAATGGAAGAATTAATATTGTTAAAATGTCCATACTGCTCAAAGCAGTCTACAAATTCAGTGCAATAAAAGTCAAAACTTCAATGGCAAATTTCAGAGAAATTGAACAAAGAATCCTAAGATCCCGAATAGTGAAAGGTTGAAAAAGAAGAATAAAGGTGGAGGCATCTCACTCCCTGGTTTCAAACTATATTACAAAACTGTAGTAATCAAAACAGTGTAGTATTGGCTTAAAAATGACATGAATGTAATAGAATCAAGAGCTCAGAAATAAACACATGATTGTATGATCAATTAATTTGCATCAAAGGAGAAATGAATATGTAGTACAGAACATGCAGTCTGTTCAATAAATTGTGTTGGGAAAACTGGACCCCTGCCTACACCATACACAGAAATCAAGCCAAGATGTATTAAAGACTTGAAGGTTGCACCTGAAACCATAAAATTCCTAGAAGAAACCATAGGGGATAAGCTCCTTGACATCATTCTTGGTGAGGACTTTTTGGGGTTGACCCCAGAAGCAAAGGGCAACAAAAGCAGAGCTAAGCAAGTGGGACTACATCAAATTATAAAGTTTCTCTACAGCAAAGGAAACCATCAACAAGATAAAAAGGCAACCCACAGGATGGGAGAAAATATTTGCAATACATATATCTGATAAGTAGTTAATACATAAAATATATAAAGAACTACAACTCAGTAGCAGCAAAGCACATCACTACCAATTCTACAGAAATACTGAGGATTATAAGAGAATGCCACAAACAGTTATATGCCAGAAAATTGGATTACCTAGTTGAGATGGACAAATTTTCTTGAAACACAAAACCTACCAAGAGTAAATCATGAAGACAGAGAAATCTGAACAGACTCATAACTAGTAAAGTGATTGAATCAATAATCAGAAATCTCAACAAAGAAAAGTCTGGTCTGAACCTGATGGTTTCACTGATGAATTCTTCCAAACTAGTGCCAATCCATCTCAAACTTTTCCAAAAAAAATTAGAAGGAAACACTTCCTAACTCATTCTATGAGGCCAGCATAGTCTTGATAACAGAGCCACACAAAGACTCCACAGGAAAACTACAAAGCAAACCAGTATTCTTTATGAACATTGATGCAAAGTCCTCAACATAATACTGGCAAACAGATTTTAGCAGCATATTAAAAGGATTATACATCCTGACCAAGTGGGATTTATTCTTGGAATGCAGGCATAGCTCAGCATCAGAGAATAGACCAATGTAATATGCCACATTAACAATATGAAAGGGGAAAAAAACCATCATCTCGATGCAGAAAAATCATTTTACAGAATAGAAGGAAACTACCTTAACCTAATGCAGTAGTCCTCATCCACAGCTTCACTTTCCTTGATGTCAGTTACCCATGGTCAGCCTTGGTCTAGATAGAAATGATCCTCCCTCACAATGCCTACATCATTCACTTCACTTCATCTCACTATGTAGGCATTTTGTCATCTCACATCATCACAAGGAAAGGAAGAATGAGTATAGTAAGATATTGAGAGAGGGGAGAAAGAGAAAGACCACATTCATTTAACTTTTATTACAGTAAATTGCTATAATTGTATTTTATTATTGTTCTTAATCTCTAACTGTGCCTAATTTGTAAATTAATCATAGCTATACATGTTTAGGAAAAAACAGTATATAGAGGGTTTGGTTCTATCCACATTTTCAGATATCCACTGGGGGTCTTGGAACATACACCGCACAGATAAGAGGGGACTGCTCTAAGAGCCCTATATGAAAACCCACAGCAGGGCACCTGGGTGGCTCAGGTGGTTAAGCATCTGCCTTTGGCTCAGGTATGATCTCCGGGTCCTGGGATCAAGCCCATGTCAGGCTCCCAGCTCAGCAGGGAACATGCTTCTCTCTCTCCCTCTGCCCCTCCCCACTGCTCATGCTGTCTGTCTCTGTCTCTCTCAAATGAATAAAATTTTTTATAAAAATCTTAAAAAACCCACAGCAGACAATTCCCAGTAAAGATGGAAAGCTTTTCCTGTAAAGTCAGGAACTACATAAGGATGCCCACTTTTGCACTTCTGTTAAACATAGTAGAGGTTCTCATGAGAACAATTAGACAAGAGAGAGAGAAAAGACATTCAAATTGGAAGGGAAGAAGTAAATTTAACTTTATTTGTGTATGACATGATCTTATATGTAGAAAATACTAAAGACTCCCCAAAGAAGCTATTAGATCTCAGAAATAAATTCAGCAAAATCACAGGGTACAAAATCAACACACAAAAATCAGTTACAGATTGGTCGAGCCTGAGCCAGCATGGCGGCGCCCATGTAACCCGGTTTGTGCCGCGAAAGGGACGACGACGGCCGTGGCGCTGGCCCCGCGCGGTCACAAGTCACCATGCTGAGGACAGTGTGGAGGGCGCTGAGGTCGCTTCGGACCCAGGCAGTAGCCCAGGCCCCAGTCCTTGGGCTGCCAGGCGGAGCGTGTGCCAGGCCTCCCTCCCTCCAGTGGGGCCTTCCCTCTCCTCGCGGTGTCATCCTCCCAGCCGTTCGTGGATATGCCACCCAGAAACCAGTCCAGCCCAGCCAAGAAGATGACCCGCCCCCTGCCACGCTGCTCAAAGACTACCAGAACATTCCTGGAATTGAGAAGTTTGACGATGTCGTGAGAAGACTCTTGTCTTTAGAAATGGCAAACCAGAAGGAGAAGCTAAAAATCAAGCAACAGCAGCTGATGAACAAGATTATGGCAAACCCTGAAGACACCAGCTCCCTGGAGGCTCGAATTGTTGCCTTGACTGTCAAGATCCACAGTTACAAAGAACACATGCAGAAACATCAAAAGGACAAAGCCCACAAGCGCTATCTGCTGATGAGCATCGATCAGAGGAAAAGGATGCTCGAAAAGCTCCGGAAGACCAACTACAGTGTCTTCGAGAAGATATGCAAGGAGCTGGGGATTGAGTACATCTCTACCCCTCTGTGCCACCGGAAAGGCCACCGACGCTGGGCAGCCAAGAAGGCCCTGTGCATTCGGGTCTTCCAGGAGGTACAAAAGCACAAGAAGCAAAAAAGGGCCTTAAAAGCTAAAGCAGCAGCGGCCCAGAACAGGGCCAGAAGAACCCAGAGAGCCCTTCCAAAACTGGACCAGAGGCAGTCAAAGAAAACCAATAAATTTTATTTTGAGTTCTGTCAAAAAAAAAATTATATTTCCATACACAGTGAACAATCCAAAACGGAAATTACAAAAACAATTTCTTTACAATAGCACTAAAAAGAATAAAATACTTAGGAATTAACCAGTGAGGTGAAAGAATTGTACCATGAAAACTACGAAACATTGCTGAGAGAAAAATAAAAAGGGACACCCTTGTGGCTCAGTAAAGCGTCTGCCTTTGGCTCTGGTCATGATCCCAGGGTCCTGGGATCAAGCCCTGCATCGGGCTCCTTGCTCAGCCTCTCCCTCTGCCTGCCTCTCCCCCTGCTTGTGCTCGCTCTCTCTCTCTCTGACAAATAGGTAAAATCTTTAAAAAAAAAAAAAAAGGGGGCTGCCTAGGTGGCTCAGTCGTTAAGCGTCTGCCGTCAGCTCAGGTCATGATCCCAGGGTCTTGGGATCGAGCCCTGCATCAGGTTCCCTGCTCAGCGGGAAGCCTGCTTCTCCCTCTCCCACTCCCCCTGCTTGTGTTCCCTCTCTCGCTGTCTCTCTCTCTGTCAAATAAATAAAATCTTTAAAATAAATAAAAAGAAAAAAAAAGAAAATTAAAGACATAAATTAATGGAAACACATTCCATGTTCATGTACCATAAGACTTTATATTGTTAAAATATAAACACCCAGAGCAATCTACAGATTCAGTACAACCGCAGCAAAATCTCAAAGACTTTTTTTGCAGAAATAGAAAAACCCAACCTAAAATTCATATGGAATCTTAAGGGTCTGTGAATAACCAAAACATTTCTTAGAACAAAACTTGAGTCACACTTCTTGATTTCAGAACTTAACTACAAAGTTACAGTAATCAAAGCAGTGTTTTATTGGCATAAGGACAGAATGATAGACCCATGAAAGAGAATAGAGAGCTCAGAAATAATCCCTCACATACATGGTCAAATGACTTTTGACAAGTGTGCCAAGATCATTCAATGGAGAAAAAACAGTCTTTTCAATAAATGGTGCTGGGAAAACTGGACATCCACATGCAAAAAATTGAAGCTGGACCCTTACCTAGCACCATATGCAAAAATTAAATAGATCAAGGACCTAAACTAAGACCTAAGGCAATAAAACTTGTAGAAGAAAACTTAGGACAGAAGCTTTATGACATTGGACATGGCAGTGATTTCTTGAATATGGTACCAAAGAGACAGGCAAAATGGAAAAAAAAACCAGATTGGACATCGTGAAAATTTTAAAATTTTGTACATCAAAAGACACGGAGGAAAGAAGCAACCCACAGAATGGGAGAAAATAAACATGCTGATTCAGAAATGGGCAAAGGATTTGAATAGAGATTTCGCCAAAGAAAATAATACAAATGGTCAATAAGCACATGAAAAGGTGCCCAACAGCACTAATCATTAAGGAAGTGCAAATCAAAACCACAATGAAGGGCCCCTGGGTGGCTCAGCTGGTTAAGCATCCAACTCTTGATTTTGGCTCAGGTCATGATATCAGGGTTGTGGGATCGAGCCCCGTGCCAGGCTCTGTGCTCAGCCAGAAGTCAGCTTGAGATTTCCTCCCTCTCCCTCCACACCCCCACTTGTGTGCGTGCACACACACTCTCTCTCACTCAGATATTTAAAAAACACACAAGGAGATGCTACCTCAGACCCATTAGAATGGCTACTGTCAAAATAACAGAAAAGTAGTGTTGGTGAGGACGTGGATGAATCGAGATCCTTTCACATGGTGTGTGGGAGGGTAGAATGATATTTCCACTTGGGGAAAACCATATAGAGGAACCTCAAAAAATTAAAAATAGAATTACAATATGACCCAGCAATTCCATTGGGTATTTACACAAAAGGACTGAAAGTATGGCTTTGATGATGTATCTGCATCTTCATATTCATAGTGAGCATTCATAATAGCTCAAATATGGAAGCAGCCCAAGTAATAGATAAGCAAAATGCGGTATATACATACAATGGAATTACTCATTTTTTAAAAGGAGGGAAAATTTGCAACATCCTACATCATGTATGGACCTTGATGGCATTATGCCAAGTGAAAATAGTCACGAAAAGACAAAATACTGTACAATTCCACTTATGTGAGGTACTTACAGTAGTCAAAATTATAGATAGAATGGTGGTAGGGGTGGGAAGAATAGGTGGTTACTGTAAGTGTAGTACTTCAGTTTATCAAGATGAAAAGAACTGTGAGCATGGTTGGTGGTGATGGCTGTACAACAGTGTGGGTGTACCTACTACCACTGAACTGTACACTTTAAAATGGTTAAGATGGTAGATTTTATGTTATGTCTGTTTTCACACAACTTTAAAAGATAATTGGATAGTTTGAGGGGCGCCTGGGTGGCTCTCTGTTAAGCATCTGCCTTCCGCTCAGGTCATGATCCCAGGGTCTTGGGGTCAAGTCCCGTGTCAGGCTCCTTGCTCGGCGGGGAGTCTGCTTCTCCCTCTCCCTCTCCTCCTGCTCCTTCTCTCTTTCTCTCTCACTCACTATGAAATAAAATCTTTTTTAAAAAAGATAATTGGATAATTTGAACAGCTATTTTTGTAAATTTTTTAACTTTAGGTATCACATAGAGACAGATTTTAAGTGTAAATTACCATCCATTTTTACAAATGTATACACCCATACAACCCACATCCTTATCAACATATAGAACGTTTCCATTGTTTCAGGTTTAGAATCTGGCCACCTTGAAGGCAAGCAGTGATGTGGTTTCTGTCACCAGATTTGTTTTGCCTATTGCCTCTTGCAGAACTGCACATATATGTAGTCTTCTGTGTCTGGCTTCTTTCACTTAGAATGTTTTTACAACTTATCCATGTTGTTGATTTGTTGATTTTTATTCTGGACTAATATTCCTTTGCATAAATTCACCACAGTTTATCCATTTCCCTGAACTTCTGTTTGGAGAGTTAAATAAAATGAACAAATTCCTTGAAAAAGCACAACTTAAAAAACAGCGCGAGAAGAGATAAAAAGTCTTGACTATCTACCAGTGATATTGAATGTATAATTAACAGTTTCTGACAAAAGAAGCTCCAGGCTCAGATATCTTCATTGATAATTCTTCTGTATACTTAAAGAAGAAATAATGTCTATACTACCAATATCATATAAACTCTTCCATTTCATACTTCTAGTATAACCTTCATCTGAAACCTAACAACACTGTTAAGAGAAAGAAGAAATATAGGCAAACATCTCCCATGAACATAGACACAAAAATCCTCATTAAAATATTAGCAAATCAGGGTGGCTCAATCGTTAAGCATCGGCGTTTGGCTCAGGTCATGATCTCAGGGCCCTGGGATCGAGCCCCACATTGGGCTCTCTGCTCTGCGGGAAGCCTGCTTCTCCCTCTCCCACTCCCCCTGCTTGTGTTCCCTCTCTTGCTGTGTCTCTCTCTGTCAAATAAAATCTTTAAAAAAAAAATATTAACAGATCAGCTCTAGAAATATGTAAGAAGGTTAATACATCATGACCGTGTGGGGTTTACTTCAGGAATGAAAGATTGATTGGTTTAACATTCACAATCAATGTAACTTACTACGTTAACAGAATAAAGGCAAAAAAATCATATATCATCTCGATAGGAGTAATAGAAAATAGAAAAGGCATTTGATAAAATTCAACAGTATTTATAGGGGCACCCTTGATCTCAGGATTAAACTTTTTTTTGTTTTTTTAGATTTTATCTATCTGTTAGAGCAAGCATGTGAGCAGGGGGAAGGGCAGAAGGAGAGGGACAAGCAGACTCCCTGCTGAGCACAGAGCCCAACATGGGGCTCAAACCCACCCATAAATAGCACTGACTGTAAAGGAAATGAACTGATAAAATTTAAAATTTCATCGAAAGATAATATTATGAAGTTAAAAAGCTAAGCCATACACTGGGCAGAAGGTATTTACAATGTTTATCTGACAAAGAATTTCTTTATAAATACAGAATCTACAAATAAATAAGAAAGTCCAATTTTTAAAATAGTTCAAAGAATAAGCACATCAAAAAGAATATAAACGTATTCAAAAAAAGGGGGGCCCAGGTGGCTGTTAATGACTTCAGCTCAGGTCATGATATCAGGCTCCTGGGATTGAGCCCCACGTCTGGCTCTGCGCTCAGCGGGGATCCTGCTTTTCCCTCCTGCTTTTCCCTCTACCACTCATGCTCCCTCTCTCTTTCTCAAATAAATACAATCCTTTTTTTAAAAAAAGTAGTCAATAAACATAAAATACGTGCTTAATATCTTTTGCCATCCAAGAGAAATATTAAACTGTGTTCGAAAACTACTACATACTCCCCCCAAAATGGCTACAATCAAAGAATGACAATTCAAAGTGTTGCCAAGCATGTAGTATGACATGAAGGCTTTTAGATACTGGTGGAAATGTAAATTGGTGTATAACCACTTTAAAAAAAAAGTGTTTGCCATACCTATCAAAGCTAAACATACCCAGTAACTCCACAACCACACTCCTCTAAGTATGTCAGAAGACATACAGAAGTGAGTGTTCATGTTCAAAAGGCATGTGCAAGAATATCCACAGAAATTTTTTTTTTTTAAAGATTTTATTTATTTAGTTGAGAGAGAGAATGAGAGATAGAGAGCACGAGAGGGAAGAGGGTCAGAGGGAGAAGCAGACTCCCCGCCGAGCAGGGAGCCCGACGCGGGACTCGATCCCAGGACTCCAGGATCATGACCTGAGCCGAAGGCAGTCGCTTAACCAACTGAGCCACCCAGGCGCCCCCACAGAAATATTTTTATAACAGCTAAAAAACTACAAGCAATCCACATACTTGACAGTATCTAAATTGTGCTGTCTTCGTACAGTGGGGTGCTTTCCAGCAGAGTAAGGACACGTCACAGTTACAGGGTAACACTGAGCGGAAGAACCAAGCATGTGACTGTACCTCCTACAGGGTATTATTCTGTATGATTCCATTTATATGAAGTTCCAAAGAGGCAAAACTAACCTGTGGTGATAGAGATTAGCATCGTGGCA